CCATTTATACATCACTTGTCTCTCATATGAGACATAATTATATCTTACATATGTTGTATTAGATTCTCAAACACAATAGTTTCAACACTACTAAAAATAAATACTCTTCATGTAACCTTTAATTGGGCGCTCAAATTGAGAATTAGTTCCAACAAATCATGACCTTGGCATCATGACATTTAAAAAAAAAAAATAGTATACATGTTATGTTATCCTTTACCTTATGTTTAAAAAAAATCCAAAATTTTGCATGACATTTTTCTTATTTTAACAATCATGTTTATTTAACTAATTTATGACACGAGCGATAAAGTGTCACAAGGTCGAACATAGTTGGGTTTAGTCTCCAAAGATGAAAAACTTGTGGAGCTAGCCGTTAGTTAAGAAGAAAATTGTAGAATTCTAGTTAATTAAGGTTAGGTGACGAGTCTCTTTCGAGTTTCTAGCAAAACTAAAATGCGCTAGGGAAAAGGAGTAATCTAAGAGTCCTAAAACTCTTCCACACCCGGCCCGTTCAACTCACGCTCGGTGTCCTTGAGATAGAGACTCCTAAGAGTTTCCACGCCTGACGCAACCAAATCACGCCTGGTCCAACATCCAACCCTAGAGCCCTAAGCTCTTCCACGCCTAGCGCGCTCAACCTGTGCCTGGCCTAAATCCCAGTTAGAGAGTTCAAAACTCTCAACCCAAACTAACAAATTCCGCCACATGCAAACACAAAACACAATGCATAGGCTCCATACAACTCAAAATAAACTTAAATATCACACGCATCCAACCTATGCATCGAAATCATCAAAATCCTCTCTTTTTCTCAAAACCCCAAAAATGAGATTTTCTTCAATCCATTTATGGATTCTCAACATTCATGCACCTATTGAGTTTCTAAACTCACATGCAACCTAAACAACAAACATTCTAGCTCCCCTCACCTGAAGATTGCCTAAAAATAGCCAATAACTGAGAAGACGCAGAATTGCCTTCCGAAGCTCAACCCGGAACTTCAGTCCTTCCAAAGTAAGCTTCCTAATTTGAATTTCAAGGAAAGACAGAAGACATTAGTGATCTGGAGGAGAAAAGGAATCATACAGAGAAAAGGAATCATACAGAGAAAATTTGGGAGAGAAAGGAGCTCACAGACCCAGAATCCTTCTCTCTAAAACTACTCCCTAAAAACTCATTCTCCTCAGCTGCCCCTAACCCCTATTTATAGAAGTTCCGGAGTGGCCAGAACGAACTGTTCCGATTCCGGAACAGGTCGTTCTGCATCCCTTTATCATGGGCAAAAATCACATGCAGAACGGCCCGTTCTGAAATCAGAACGGCCCGTTTTGGGACTCATCCAGAACGGTCCGTGCTCCATCCAGAACGACTCGTACTCCAACCAGAACGACCCATTCTCCAACCAGAACGGTTGGAACGGCCCGTTCTCCCTCCAGAACAGCCCGTTCTCAACCACAATTTACAGGTCAATTTAATAGCTTGGAACAGCTCGTTCCAGATTGGGAGCGACCCGTTCTGGACTACTAAATCACCTATATTTTTTTTAACTACGTTACAATACTACAAGAATATTTTTTACGAAAAAAATCAAAGAAATTATTACAAGTTCTATCAATAATTCTTCAACTTTCAAATGCTCACAATGAATTCATTCGAAGCATTTATTTCCACACCTCTAACATGTGATACATAATCTTTTAAACTCTAGGATTGTAGATTATAAGTCTAACACTCAACCATACAAATCAACTTGTAAGGTAAGTGTTGCCCCAACTTATATACTTTTTAATTGTTTTATTTTCAATTGATGTGAGACTTAGAGTTTTTTTTTTTTAAATATTAAACTAATTTTTAATTTTTCTTGCAGATTAAAATTGGCCGAAAAATCTGCAGGAAAAGTTACCTTTGAAATTTTTCTACCATTTAGTAAATATTACTTGCGAAATTATTTTTGCAAGAAAATCTGTAAGAAATAAAATAAAATTCTTACAATATTTTCTGCAATTTTTTACCATGGAAAAAAGTTTCTATGATCATTAAAATTGTAGCAAAATTTGCAAAATTTTCTTGTAGATTATTTTTCATAAAAAAATTTATAAGAAATATCTGTAAATTATTTTTTGCAAATAAATTCGTAAATTTTTTTTGTGAAATTATTATTGCAAGAAAGTTCATAAAAAATTTATGCACATATTTTTTTTGTAAGAAAATTTGCAAGAAAATGACCATTTTGTAGTAGTGGAAATATCTTCTGAAAGTTGATACCCTTGCATAACTATTCTACAATATCAAAATGACTACATATTGCATTTATTTTTTTTTAAAATATTATATATATATATATAAAGAGGATTCAAATGACACCGGTATAACTTTTACTAAGTGTTACACCACTCAATAACTTTATATTAAATGTGAATTTTGAAAATCCAACCGTTAGATTGAAAGTTCATATCTCTTAGATCATATATATCAAATTTTATATTAATCTAAAATGATTTGATACTTCATTCTCATAAAACAAAATTGACGTAATATATACATTTCAAAATATACTAAAATATGAACACTTTGATTACCTTCAAGTTGTTGTTCAATTTTAACAAAATTTGACATATATGATCTAAGAGATATGAACTTTCAATCTAACGGTTGAATTTTCAAAATTCATATTTAATATAAAGTTATTAAGCGATGTAACACTTAGTAAAAGTTATACCAGTGTCGTTTGAACCCTCATTATAACAAATTTTTTTTTATCATTGTAATTACTAATCACTGTATGAATATTATTTCAACTCTCACTGTTAGACAGATTCAGATGGTCAAAATATTTTTATACAACTTAAAGAAATTCTTTAAATTTAAATATTCTATACAAATTACTTTGCACATTGGAACAAAATATTAAAATTTTAAAAAGAGGTTTAATTATTTTTTAATTTTTATTATTTCATAAATTTTACTTTTTTCTTATAATTAATTTTTTTATTTTAATTTCTATACATATCATTTTTTTCTTTTGGTCCCTATAATCTTATATACTTTTCCATTTAATCTCTATAATTGCATAAATATTTCTTTTTAATCTTTATAAAAATATATGATAGAAATTCATATAAAAAATTATATGTATAGAAACTAAAATAAAATATTTTAACTATATAGACCAAAATATAAAATCTATGAAGCTATAGAGCTAAAATGATAAATAAACCTTAAAATTTGTAACAAATATTTTGCCCCTAATAAGGTTTTGCCCCTGTTGACATATATTTTCAATTTCGTCAAAGGATTGAGTAACATTCGTATTTTTCAGGAGAGAAGAGTGTTATTTACTCATATTATTTTAATATTAAAAATTTATTTAAAATAGAAACATAATAAATTAACTTTTATATTAAATATTATTTTAAGCTTAATTTCATTAGTTTTCAAGTATTGTAATTTTGAAATTTTAGGGTTTTAGTAATTGTATGATTTTTTATTTAAATTTTAATTGAGCAATTTTAATCTCTCAATTATTGTATTTTTAAAATTTTAGTTCATCTCATTAAAATTATAATAATTTTAAAATCAACTTCTATATATTAAACATGAACTTCAAAACTTCTATATTCCACGGAAGTATTTTTATTAGTTTTTCTTCAATGAGAAGGTTTTTTTAAAAAAAATTAACTTCTTATCTCAAATTTTATTTTACTTATCATAATTATTTATGAATTAATATTTTAATCTGTGCAATATATATGCTAAATTTTTATTATATATAAGTAAATTTTATAATATATGTATATATATATATATACATTATATATTTAAATATATAAATCATATATAAAATTTAGATAAACAGATATTTTAAACATATAAATTATATATTTTTTCCAACAACACATAAATTATATTTTAGATTTATGATAAATAATTTAAATTGTAACATAATATTATTTTTATTTATTTTAAAATATTCAAATTTAATTCATAAATAATTATGATAAACGAAAACTAAATTATATAAGAAGTTGAAAAAATTTCTAAAAATTCTCTTGTTGAAGAAAAGTATTTAAAAATGCTTCTAGTCAAGATACAGGTTCATGTTTAATATATAAAGATTGATTTTAAAATTTTATACTTCCACACACACATATATACACACACTAGTATTTTAGTTTATGCATTGTATAGACTAAATATTTATTATGCATAACTAAAATTTATAATAAATCATATAATAAGTAAATATTATGTTGCAATATATAAATCGTATTTAAAATTTGTATAAATACATACTTTTACAAATATAAATTATATTTTAGATTTATGGTAAATAATTTATATCATAGCACATAACACCTCATTTTTCATAAAATATAATATAAATATTTTATTAATAATTTTTATATTTTATTTTATTAATAGAGACTGTTAAATATTTATTTTAATTATGTAATATATTTTAAAATATATTATACGACACTTTATTAAAAAATAATATAGCAAAAACATTTCCCATTTGACAATCCTTAGTTTTGTGGCCCATGGCTCCACACTCGTCACACATGAGTAGAGCAATAGGAGCTCCCATAATTTTCATTTGTATGCACATTAGGGTCTCCATAAATTTAGTCAAGGCATCTAATTTTTTATTGACTGAAGACTACTCCTCCACTAGATATGTCCCTATTGGTTTCTTTAGTATCTTTCCATTTACAATAAGGGTTATGTAATTGTTGGAGGCTAAGTCTTCAATTATTTTTTTATTTAATTTTGAGACCCATAAAAAGAGTGGTGGGAAAACTTTTGGAAGTCAATCTGAACCGTAAAACACAAGTTCAGATATATCAATACAAGAGACGGAAAAAAAAAAAAAAAAAAAAAAAAAAAAAAAAAAAAAAAAAAAGAGGAACTCAATAAATGGGAATAGTCGAAATTTCAGTTCTTAGTCTTTGTTGCTTCTCTCTTCTTCTGACTCAAGAAGGTCTTCCAACACCTTGTTATATATCCAAACACTCGAACTCAATAACTTCCTTCCGTGGTGAAGTTGCAATTACCATAGTAGAAGAATTTGATGATAGAAAAGTGAGATGAGGATAATACTCATTAGGAAAATTAAGGATTGCAAGAGCACCCCTCAAACCAATGGCTGCACGATCATAAGCTCTAGCTGCTTCTTCTGCTGTGTCAAATGTTCCTAACCATTGTCTTCCCGTAGGTTTTGTAGGGTCTCTAATTTCTGCACCATACTTACCCCATGGCCTCTTTCTCACACCACGGTACCTCACTTCTTCCCCTTCTCTCTCTTTGTCTTTATGTGCCTCCTCCATACGTTATTGTTACCTATTTTGAAACAGTCTCCATAATATTTCTACTTCTCTTTTCACTCTTAACTGTGAGGTGAGGCCACTTATGTTTATGCCTTTCATGTGTATGTATATATAGGCAGATTACATATGTAAAAATTGGGTCAAGTTCTAGGTTTTATTTTTTGTTTGTTCCTATATTGACTTGATTTTTAGCTTTCGCGAGGAAGTGTAAAATTTCGATTTTTCTTTAACTTTGCCATGGATAAAATGATATTATGATTATCCATCCATTTGAATTGATGAGATAAAATATTAATTTTTAAATTTTTACAAAATTTACAAACTTAATCTATGTATTAATAGCTGTAAATTCAACGGTTGGATCGTTAAAATTTAATGTAAAACATGAGTTATTGAATGAAGTAAGTCTAGGTAGAATTATTCCGAGTGCAAACAAATCCCATATATATATATATATATATATATATATATATATATATAAATATAGGGTCTACATCAAATTTCAACGATTCAGCTATTGAGTTTAAAGTTCTTAAAGTATAAATCAATTTTACAAATTTTTAAAAAATTTAAAAACTATATGATACTTAGTTTTATTAATTTAAATTAACGTATAAAATATTTTTATGATTATCTGTTAATTTGAATAATAAAATGAAGTATTAAATAATTTTTAAATTTTTAAAAAAAATTTCAGACCAAATTTATACATTAAGAATTTTAAATTTAACCGTTAAATCATTTAAATTTGAATTTGATATTTTATTTAAAAGAATCGAGTTTAATATTATTCAATCTAATAATTACTAAAGAGAGGAATAATTATTACTCAGGGTACTTTTATATTTTGGAATGAATTCAAAAATAAAACTAAATAACCTCAAGCGTGTGGTTCAGTGGTAGGGGTTGATCCACGCTTAAGCAAGGTCAGGGGTTCGAATCCTGCCTTGTGTATGCAGTCGCGTTAAATCTTGGGGCCAGCTATCCCACCCTTTGAGGTGCCTCCAACGTAGCGAGGAGATTAGTCACTGCTGTCGGCGGCAGGGACGAAAAAAAATAAAAAATAAAACTAAATAAATAAAATATGTGGACAGGGTCCAATGCACAAAATTTGTCGTATGATGAGCATAGTTGTCACTTCACATCCAACATTAGTTTCTTTTTTCTTATTTTAGATTATTATTTTCATACATTAATTTTTTTTTATTATTTTACTTTCATTTCACGTTTCTCTTACTATTTCTTATCACATGTATTATCATATCTATCAGTTTTTTTTTTCTCTCAATCTCTTTTCCATACATACACTTCAAATTTATTGTGTATGTTTAGTCCCTGCCACTAAGTTGAAATGAAATCAAGTGAAGTTAACTTTTATTGTTTAAAAGAGAAATATATATTATTTTAAACACTATATATATATATATATATATATATATATTATTTACTGAATTTTAAGAGAATTAGAATTATTGAACCTTGTAACAGTGACAGATCGATCATCCGACGCGTTTCGAAAACCGGAGAGTCAAGATAATATTTTTATTTTACATGAGAATATAAAGTTAAAAACAGTAAAACTTAACTAAGAATGAATTATTTTAATAGTATTAAAAATAATTTGAATTTGAGTATATAGAATGTGTCCCACATTACCTAAATTACGTAAGTACACACGTCGTACGTTTCATTTTATTTTATATTAATTTCATGTTTTCTTATTTGAAAGATATGTGATAAAATTAATTATATATATATATA